CTAATGGGAGGGGAAGAAAGAAAACGGGAGTTTTCTGCTCATACTCAGATGATTAGTACATATGAAACTGTATTAACTTTTTTGCAATTAATATATTTGGATTTTGATGTTAGTGTGGTAGATATACAAGGAGAAAAATCTGCATAATAACAACATTAATTGTCCTTTTACTAGTCCTGGGACTAGTCAATCACCTAGCAAATTTAAGCCTTGGGACATCCAAGTATTAGAGATTGAATAATCAGTACCTCTACATGCTTATAAAGAGRACCTCTGTGATGCAAAAAGCAAACTTAAAGGAAACACAGGGCAAAAGGAGTAGAGGTCTATCCTACATCTCTGTGTGATAATTGCAACATGAGTTAGATAAAAACCAAACTAGATTTTGAGGCAACAGCTTGGGTTTCAGCAGTCTCACCAGAGGCTGAGACAAAGCAGCTGAAGTTACTGCAGTTAGTTATGCTCTCATTGCACTGATTCCCAAACAGAGTAAATTAAGAAATCATACTTAAGATGTCTGTTCTATAAATATGTTTTTCCATTTAAATGCACGTGTAGCCCATTTTAAATCTCTCCTGTGACAAACTGTTTAATTGAAACATGCATGGAACAGGTTGAAGAAAAAAATACCAGTCTCCTGAGAAGAAAAGTCAGGCACTGAAACCTTCCCGATTCTTACCAAAATCTTATACTTCTATTTTTTTTTTTTTTGCAAGCAAGCACATAACAGAATTATATATTCTATTTACATTTTGCATTGGAACTCTCTGCATTACTTGCATACAGAACAGAATTGTAAAAAAGAGGGGATCCATTCCCTAATTTAGAAGTGTATCACAGAAAGGTGTGCCTGCCTTATCAGAGGTCAAAAAGTAAATGAAAGGAGCAGGAGACAATACTTTAATTATAGTGCAGATTGTTGTCAATTCATTGCAGGCTTACATTATTTCTTTTCTAAGGCCAAGTAGGCATCAGTAAGTGCTCACTGGAAGAACTGAGTCCCAGCTGAGGAGACATATTGCTTAAACCTCAGAGATTTCCCCATCCCCCAGGAAGGTGAAAATCTTAAGAGCTGCAATTTCTTTAAGTAATAACCACTAATTTATTCAGAATAATTTCAAAGAACAGCAGAGGATGGCTTTAATAAAAAATTAAAAAAAAAAAAATCACAAGTTTTTGAGACAAAATTGCAACACTATGATTTAATGAACACAAAGAGCCAGGCTAGGCTCCTTTATGCTTGAGTGAYAAGCCATGCAGATGTCTTTCCTTTCAAAAAAAACTGATAAAGAAAGGGTCTGGCCAGAGTATGCTAAAGGGGTGCAAGTACAGAGGTCAATATTCTGTGTCAAACTGCTGATTTCCTTACCAGAACAGTAAAATGAAGTTCAGCATAACACCTTGAGCCCTACAAATTCTGGACAGTTGGGTTTTTAAAGCSAGTTATATACCCAGATTATTCCGTTAAAAGAATTCTTCTAGATAAAGTAAGCCAGAATACCAATTTAATTGCACTTGTGTTTCTTGGGCCAAAGAAAATTCAAGAACTTTATCCTAGCACTGTTTTAAGGAAATAGTTCCCAGTGAGACAATGTAGATGGTATAAACAAGCATCTCAGAACAGCAGACTCATRCAGCAATGCTATTGTCCAAAATGTGAAGCAACAATTGCTGCCTGGGCCAAAAAATGTCTCATCTGTGAGAGAAACTTCAGCATTTAGATTTGAATTCTAGATCGCTGCTTGCCAAACTTCATTATTTAACAAAAAACTGCTTCCAACCATGAGGAAAGACACTGAACTAAAGAGATAGAATAGGACTCTCAGCAATCCTAGCAAACACCCCAACTCCAAGCTGCGGTAATTGGGCATAGTCTAGAGCAATCCTTATCACAAAAGGTGTCAGGTCAAAATGCAATGCAGCTGAAGACCACCCTAAAAAAGGAGATCAATGCACAGAGAAAATGGGAGAAAAGAACATAAACTGGAATTACCAGGAGATTCTGAGAGGATACCCTGGGCATTAAGAYACCTTTTACAGATTCTGTCCTAAGCAATAGCAAGGATTTAAGATAATGGAGCAACTTTGCTTTTTACTAAGCCTAACAGTTACTGCAAAGAGGATGAGGTAAATGAATTAAACACATATGGCCTGCAGTGAGTGGCTGCACATTTTGATCTTACTGCCTTTGGGTTTTCAGTAGTTTTTAAGCTCTAGCATGCCATAATCTTCCATGACTTTTGACAGGAGACCATTCCTATTGTCCTTCCTTCTGCTTTCTGTGTATGTACCTAGATAAAATAATCCTTTCAATTTAAGCTATAGCAGGACTGTAGCTGCTACCTCAAAACAYCCCTAAACATGTCCCAGTAATGAAGGGGTTGAAATGGAGATGCTAAACATCTTCCAGAAAACACATCCACCTTCCAACATACATTAGAAGGAGATGTGTTGGTAAGTACTGCTGGAGCCACCTTTGCAGGAAGGTGTTTTCTGGCTCCACTCTGTGATTGATAGCTCACATACTGTCCTCTCAAGTACTGAATTTATCAACTGGTTCTCCCCTCACCCACAACTGYACACATGGTCTAAACTTCTAAAATCTCCTTTGAAACTGAAGAAAACCTTATATTCTTAAACAGGGAGAAAAGGACAAGGGCAAGAAGCTATATGGCTCTTTTTCACATTGTTTCACAGAGCTTTCATGGAGTGGTAAAAAGAATGCCAAGGGTATTTTATTTCACTTTCATAACACAGGTCTCTTTCCACACTACAGAACACCAAATCTTCCATTATCAGTTAGTTAAGACAGTTAGTTAAGGCTTTATTTCCAGATAACATTGTCTTGCCTTCCTTGAAAATTTTTCACCTGGTTTCTGGTTGGTTTTGTTTTGAACAAACTGTTTTGCAACTACAGTGAAATAAAGAAACCCAAATACACCAAAGCACACAGCCTTTTGAAGCAGACAAAATGTACATTTCATTATCTTTTCTTCCTATCCTTTGCTCCATCTGAAAAAAAACAAGATTCGCTGGATTCCATATTAAAGTGTAACTCAAGACCTCTCCAGCAGTAAATTAAAYAGTAGGGGGAAAAAAACGAACCAATAAATTTGATTTGTGAACCATCAGCAGAGTAGAATAGAAGGTGGTGTTGGACAGACCAAAAAATTGCCAGTGTTTCTCATCCACTTAGAATTTCCACAGTCAGCCAAAAACAACGGGGAGAAAGGAGCACTGCACACAATAAACGAGTGGTAAGTGGATCCCTGGTAAGTCTCTAGGTAACTTCTGCTACAAACCCCTACAGAGCCCTCCATTGCTAAGTACTTCAAAGATCAGGGAAAACACAGGTCTGTAAGACCTGAGGATTTCCAAGCTCAGATTGTCTCAACAGCTGATTCTCACCAATAGCCCAGTTCCTAGCAGTTCTTAAGGAAGGCAGTAKGTGTCTCTTCTAAGAAAAACGTCCATCCAAATTTTGCTGCTTTTGGCTTTGTCCAAGATACATCCATAAGCACACTAAAAGGTATCACTGAGACTGCTCTAGTAAAATACATAGTTTTCTTTCACTGATCCCTACTGCTTCCAGATCAGATTATGCTGAYAGTCAGAGTAAGGATTAGATTTAAGACTAGTTCTTAATCTCTGTTTAGAAAACAATAGGTAAACTCACAAACATGGAAAAAACCAACCAAAAAAACAACTGTGTGTGTATATACATATGTATATAAAAACTTATTCTAGCATCTGTGCAAAAAACCAAAGTGACCACTAATGACTTCTTTTTTTCCTTCTTCCATGCCTCTCCAACATTTCCCTGAAAGAAAGGGATARTTTTATTTCACCAAGCCTTCTTTCAGCATTTGTTGCTTCTGGCATGAAGACCCTTGCCCAACTCTAAGTTAGAAAATTCTATCTGCCTTTTGTATTGTGAAGCATCAGGAATAAGACAGCATTTTATTTTTTCAAAGCTAAGCAGGTTGTTTATTAAATCTGCAACTTGTCCAAGATAACACATACAAGAAAGATCAACAGGAACTCATTCGTCTATGGACAAACAGGTAAGTCTGGGAGTTTCTTCCTCCCTTTGCACATGGGATTCTGAGAAATCCAATGCAAGTTTRCATTTCCCCAAGCAGCCACCTCACTGTTCTTTCTGAATGTTTAGGTCACAAGGTTGAACATGTTTGTTTCACTGCACTGGTATAGTCCTCACAACACTGCCTTAGGTATCACAGATTAAATCCAGTGCACACTTCTAACTGCACACTTCTAGCACTTCACTTCTGCTTCCTACTCTCAGGATCTGTATGTTCCCCTCAGTCTGGCCAGATGGGCCAACTCTAATCTCTTGATTGTGTTGTCAGCCTTATTTGTTTTCTCCCACAATGCCTCCACCTTCAACACACTACACTTACCCACTACTTACCAGGGTGGAAGTGCTTCCTGCTATTTATCAAATGTTTCCACTTCATCATTATAAGAAGTGCCCCCAACACACAGCAGCTAAGGGCCACTCAGAATTCAATGAACTCTTAAAATCATTCTGGGTAACAAATGGAAAACAGCTAAGCCAGTGCTCAAATCTGTGATTCAGCTTTATTGCAGAGAACAGGGTTACCACTCATCTTCAAGATTGAACTACTTCCACCATCCCCCAAGTGGCTTAGAAAATAATCTGTTATTATTCTAGTGTGTTTTGTTACTTGGTTTGGAGGGTTAGTTTTTTCATTTTTTTTTTAAATCCTATGTAATACCTACTTATATACTGAAGAGTATGAACACATGCAAAATTTTATTTCCATTCACGTATTTTACAAGCTTCTGACAGATGTTCAGTGAGTTCAACCACCCTTTAACTTTGCACTCATACCAAAATAACCTCTTTTCAGCTTTTTTTCCCCCACACACACTTGGCACAGCACCGATGCTACCCAGCTGTACTCCTCTGCTGCTAACAGTAGTAGCTTTAGACTCGGTAGTGAGGAGGGACTTACACTGGTCACTCGACGGTAGATCTGCGCAGCATTTTGGCACTCGGAATAAGGATATTCAGACGTGGCCATCTCTAGCATGCACATCCCAAAAGCATAAACATCAACGGATTCATCATATTTCTCCTCATACATCTCGGGGGCCATGAACTCTGGGGTACCTTAAATTAAAAGAACGATTCAGACTCTAAATGTCTCAAAGCGAGCAGAGGCTGCTGGCGTTACTCACCGCAGGGGGAAGCGGCTGGGCAGACCTGTGAGACAAGAGAAAGTGGAGGCAAAAAGAAGAGGGAGGAAACCCTTAGTGACWCTATTGCACCAATGCACTTTGTGAGTCTTCCATTGCAAGGCCTTTATGGAATAAGAATGGCATGTAAGATCTGATGCAGTTCCTGRTTTAGGTATGTTAGTTGATACAATAACAGAACAGACTGGACTAGCCTGAAATCAAATSGAGGGGAGGGGATAAGAAGAGGGAAAAACTGTAGACTAGCCATAGGCTTCAAACCAAATACTCAGGAGAGTTAAAGCACTTACCTTTTCTCYCTGTAAGAAAGGAGGCACATTAAACCTTGTTTGAAAAACTACCCAACTGCCCTCTGCTGCAAAAGAAATAGTACTGGTAAGAGCCCACAGCTAGTCTCTGACCTGGTGCTCTCCATCTACTTGCTGAAGTAGAATGGTTCCAGTAAGGCCTTGCAATGAAAAGCTCTCGTTACAAATAYAAATCTCCGTGAAAAGAGGATAAAAGGTAATTTTCTGCAAAGGCCACTCACCAGAGCCCTTTTCTTCATATACTTACCTTCCCACCTGCAGTATATTTATAGGCCTACTGCAGATACAGGCATTAGTGAGGGACATCCTACAGTCAAAAATACTCAGAAATACAGAGAGATTGAGTTACAGGCATAGAGCGTGAGAGTCAACAAGTCCCATTTAAATAGTGCGCAGAAAATYATTGCCCAGTGAAGCATCACAGATCCCCTCTGCAAACAAAGGGACTGCATTGTATGATCAGATTTACTTTAAGCCAGAGATGCAAGTTTGCTTTTTGTAAATTTAAGCACAGAATTATTTCCTGCAGACACCAGATTCCAGACAATTTACAGATCGTTCTCCAGCCCATTGCRTGTTTTCACCACACTAAACCAAAAAGAATGTAATTGCAGTCATTTATCCAAAGGCTAATCATTAACAGATAACGATGTAACAGATGGTAATTTTCCAGTGATAAATTTGAAGATATGACAAATATTATTAAGAAATTATGGATTTTTTACACCATTCTTTTCTTCCTTATTAATACTTTGACCTGGTTAAGAAGCAGGAAATATTTCAGAGACAGCTTGCAAGACAATTTACAGGTATACACCATTGATCTCAGTAGGGAAGCTGGCATAGGACTGTTGAGTAATGCTGAATTTTAGCAAGCTCTAAATWTTGAGAGCAAGAGAAATTTCATTCCCTGCAGTCTGTTCACCCAACTATAAAAACAAAGCTGATAAAACCAATTCTTTCAAGAATTCACAAGAATGATAACACTTAATTCCATCAAACCAATTTCTGAAAAGGGTTACTAATGGACACGCCTGTATAAGGCAGTATTTTCCCAATGCACCCTCCTAACTTACACAGATTCCACATTCTATAGACTCCCTGAGTAAGGCATTATACCACAGTCTGACTGTGATATTATATAAATATATATTTAAAATATTGACTTTCTCTGATATACCTCATGTTTTGATGACACACAAGCTGCAAGAGATTCAACAGTAACCCCTGGTGAAAATGAAAAAAAAAAATTGACCATATGAACTAATGTTATGATAAATATCAAAATGTTGTTTGGTCACCAAAATTCTTTTGTACATTTTTTGAAGCAGCACCATATCAAAGGTAAGATTTATATGTAATCAAGAGTGGTTTTATCAACAATGTTGTACTAGATTGTTGGGCAGGACAAGAACTCTACATTCTGAAATAGTTAATATACAAATATCAAAAGCACAACCAAAATTTCAACGTCATTGCATCAGAACACAAAAYGACCTCTGCAATCAAGAGACAAAGCCAATACTTTTTGGTTACTTTTTTTAGGACAAAGCCTACATACTTTCAGGCTTTGACCATATACCTTTGTAAGTATATTTTTTTAGGAAATCTCCTCAAACACTCAAGTCCCCAAAGAGGTAGACTGGCACAGCAGCCTCCAAAACAAGAGAGGCTTACCTATCACACTTTTGGCAAAAGAAGCTCGTTTCAGGGTTGCCAGACCAAGGTCTCCAATCTTGACTGATCCAGTGGGGCCMGTAATGAAGATGTTATCACATTTTAAGTCTCTATGAATAATGGGAGGAGTGCGTGTGTGTAGAAATTGTAAGCCTTTCAGTATCTGACGGCACCAGCTTCGTAGTACTTTAATTTTCATCACTTTAAATCTTTTCAAATACCTAACGAAAAAAGTAACAACAGGTTAAACAGATTCTGCTAACAAATAGTAGATTAAATTATACAATTTCCTGTTTGGAAGCAAGGAAATAGTAATTAAAGACATGTATAAATTTAAACTTCACCTTCTATTAAAAAATCTACCTGGGCATTTCAAGATTTCAGAGGAGTTTAAGATGATCCCCCTTTCTAAAACCTACCCCTTTTCTTCTATAGCCAGGGGACTGTAATGACCAAAGATAAATGTGAAAAGCTTGGTGTACATAGCTGATCACTCATCTGCATACAGAATCATTCTACAGTAATTAGATAGCTGAATTACTAAATTTCAAGGCACTGCTTCAATGACAAATAATTCAAGGTTCATGAACTACAATTATTTATCTATTTAACTTCTTAAACAGGTACAACCTTTACCTTGATTAATTATAACTGGGTGGGGAGGTGGATCACTAGATCCAAAATCTTAGTTACTAGGTACAGAGCTGTGGAAACGTGCAGGAGCTCTGAAGTCATTATTCCTTCATTTTCAAYAGTCATCAAAGCATTCTGTTCAAGGTTTCCACATTGCATTTTAAATCTGCTTCAAATTTACCTGGGGAGTTTTCAAGCAAATTGGAAATTTTTTAAAATCACTGTGCTGGCACAGGACAGGGTTTGATCACCTGAATCCAACTGGTACTACTCATTACTTTAAAACTSTGGACAGGTATGGACAGGGCAGAGGAATCCTTAAGAAGGCTCTGTCAAGTAATTGAGGTAGAAGAGTTCATACACACAGTCTATACCCCTCTGCAGGTAAAATGCAACCCAACCTCAACTGTTCTATCATTGCCACACCTTGAGATCCCACCCATGTCAGAAGAGTCAAATTTCATACCAAAAGTATTTTTCAATGTGTGTTACCTAAGACTAAGATCATATTCTATTACTTAACTTCAGCAGATYAGAGATGCCACAATGTGAATAACCTCTGATTTCAAGCAGGGTTTTCTTTCAACCTCTCTTTGGGTAACACAATTTGAAGTCAAGAGCTGTTTTGTTCTTTTTTAAAAAGTATGGGCAGCACTGTGTGTAGAAAAAGGACTTTGCATGCTCTGCAGAGCAAGGACTTCATTCTTGTTCAGGCAATGTTACTCAAGACATTCAGATAAAGACCAGTTTCACACTACAGCAAGGTTGGTGGTAAATTCTGTGACCAGCATGGAGTCTAGCAACTACAATGTTAAACTAAAAGCAAGTTGTGTTCAATTATTCCATGGYAGTGGTCAGTCTCTTCTGCAGATCCACTTAAGCAGGAGACACAGTCCTGATGAAATCATTTCAATCAGCTCCAATATAGAAATGCAGTGTATCCACCCCTTTAACTTTAATTTCTCCAGTTCAAAACAAGATCTGGAAAATCAAGTTGCTAGCAATGATCCTGCTGTGAAAACAAATCTGTGAAAGAATCAAGACACAGTTCCAAAGGAAATCAAGTTCCAGAATGTAAAGAAATGCAGGGGAAAAGCCAAGTCAAGGAAAGAGACAAACTGAAGGAGGTTCTGAATCACATCAGCCACCACTGGAATTCTTGCTATTGACACAACCCTCATTCATCTCTCTTGAGCCTGTTCCAAAGATCACATGGTAGGGGCACTTCAGTTCAGCATCTGGAATCCCTAATTACATTTTTGGTTATAAATATGTTAGTCCACTGCCAGCTTCTCACTGTTAAAGGACTGTCAAACCATTACCCATCATCCTGCAGTGCTGCTGTCATTTTTCCGTAACAACTGTCCTGAATTAAGTTACATCACTTAATGCAGACAGCAATTTTAAATGGAAGCACATATAAATACATGAAAAGAGACAAGCCAACAAGCTGGTATGCTTTCACTTCCTCATATTATAGGACAACTTGGGCTTGAAGAGACCTCAGGTTTCCAGTCTAATTTTCTGTCATTACAATTACACAGAGCTCAAGGAGCTAAAGGAATCCTGACTAAATTAGCAGAGGTAGTTCTGAAGGTATGTGCCCCACCAGACAGCTGACACATTCATTTAAAGAGGATCAGGAACACACCCTAGACACATACTTTTATCTAAGCTTTAGWCAAAACCAGTGGCTGAGACGTGGTAGATGTGAATCTCAGATTAATCACTGTTGTCTACATTAATAATTAAAATTTAAACTAGAGAACTCAATTTCCCCCCAATATTTTCATTCCACTATAGCATTCCATATCAGAAAGGAGTCTTCACAAAAATTCAGCTGTAAAATTTTCCTATTCCGGTACAGAAGTTTGGAAACTTATCCTTATGTAAAATTAGAAAGTTGCCCAGGCAGATTTTGAAAATAATTACTCCACAAAATTTTAACACTATTTCTGGGTATGGGCATCTAAATGTATAAAAATACAAAAAAAAATGAGAGAAAATTTGCTTAAGATATCATCACATCTGTCTTCTGTTCACCTTTTTACATCAAGTAACAACATCTATTCGCAAGTACCAAAATGAGAAAGGTATCATTTTTTTTAAATGCAGGTAATGTAAACATACTGGAAAAAAAGACATGGAAGTTATAATCAGTCTAATATAAACAAACACAAGTGYACAGTGTAAATCTACAACTATGCCACAAGCACATGAAATACTTGATTAAGGCACACCTAAAATCTCCCATACAGTTTACCTGCCAAGTCTCAAGGGAGGCAGACTAAACAAACTAAGTCACAATTATAACACAAGCTATACAAGAGTGGGGAAAAACCCTGCTCAGAACTTACAGTTTAAAAGATCTTCGATTAAAAAAGATATTTTTTTTCTGGATTAAATAAAAATACCTGCATATTTCAAGGTACAAAATAATCCCACAGACAGCATATCTGAGGTATTTCTTCCTACCAACACCCTACTTWATAACTGTCTATTATTACTTCATCATCTTGCTTATGCCAACACATAAGCCAATCTAAATATTAAAACCTGTGAGAGGGATAAAGGAGTAAAAAAGAGAGAAAACAAATCTAGCACTATGSATTTAAAACAAAATTAGGTAAACTTTATTTAAAGGCATCTGTACAAAGTTGCAAAACCTTTAACTTTACTTGTTTGAAAACAGCACATGAAGCAGCAGATCTGTCATTTACTCTGAAATACCTTGAAGAACCTAAGAAATGTCTTCACTGAATATACAGCTAAAGAATGTTGCAGTATTTTCTGTCACCCAGTACTATTTCAAGAGACAAACACTTCCCTGTAACTGCAGTCCAGACTCCCAAAGAGCCATTTTTCTTCTTAAGAATGTCCATTTGTGGCTATCAATAAGCATGGCAAAAAAAAACAAGACATTCACAGTCTTTTTGAACCAAAGAGCTGACAAACCGTTTGCAGCTCCCACAGGCTGCTTAACACATGTAGGATGTGAATGCCTCTCCAGGAGTGAAATGGGCACTGCACAAAGCAGAGCCCTTTATTCCGAAGGCGGCAGTTTTTTGCCAGCAGGGAATGGTGGCTCGGGACACGCTCCCAGCGCACGGCCCGGCCCGGGAGGTGCCGGGAGCCCCCGCCAGACCCGCACACCGCTAGAGGAGCTGCTGCAGCTCCTGCTCTGCTTTGAACTCGGCCTTCAACACACCCCGAGGTGCGCTCAGCTGCAGGAGCTGCATCCTTTCGGATTTTTGGGAGGTACTACTTCAGCAAGTTTTAGATAAACCAATAGGTGGTGRATTTTTTTCTTTTTATATGTTACATGTATTGTGGTAACACCCAAAACCTCCCAAAAGTAATGAATTAATTTGTGCATTGAACTTTACAAACTAACTCATCCTAAATGGAAAGCAGCTGGAGAAAAAAAAAATTAAACTAAACCCTGAGAAGTCAAAATTGAGCGTTGCCTTCCTGAGCTCCTAAAATCCAAGCTTTCTGTATGCGCTTACTAGGACATCCTAAGCAAAAACTGACAAAAGATGTTCTACCACACGCTGCAATGTTAGCAACACTCCTCTTCAACAAGAATGTTCCTACAGTAGGTTATCCCTCAGCAAAAGGGTTCTTTTCTCATCTATTCTAAATATCATCTTTTTCTAGTGCTCTTACGTTGTGCTAATGAAACTGAAATGCTTTGACAWGTCYTAATTTACTTACGTTTTTAATGTTCCAGATGTCATGAGTTCCGTCACAAGAACAATACACTTTTTTCCTTTGACTGTAGACTCCCAGGAATCATAGAACCTGACAATATTGGGATGCTGAAGCCCTTTCAACATCCCAGCTTCCTCTTTAAATCTCTGTCGCTCTGATTTGGACAGCTTCCGATCCTAATGAAAAAGAAAAGGTRCATCAGAAAGTTTTATTTGGTTTTCTTATAGAGAGGAAGCAACTTGAAAAAGAGGTACACACAGAATCAGATGTATTAAATGCCATTTAGTTTACAATTATCTTTAAATATTCTATTTTGAACACATCGTATTAGTCTTTTTATAGTATGTTGSTCTATAATTCTATTGCTCCCAAGGTTAAGAGCTGCAAGTCTGTAGATTAACTCCTCTTTCTTCTTCCTCCTCCTTTACTCTCAATAAATGTAGCTGTTGCCTGACTTGAAGTGGAAAGGGAAGGTAATGTCTTGAACACTTCAGTGTGATCAGTGAAATCAGATCAATTAAAGCATCTCTCTCTCATGTTGTACATAACAACACTTTTTCATTATTCCTGTATGTCTATTCAGATCACTGGTAACAGATGGGATTAAACACACACAGAGGGGGTTAAGCTTCAAACCTCTCTAAAATACAGGATGTGCTTGTAGCTGTAGACCATCAAGTGAAGGAATTGGATTTTCTTTGATTAAAAGCAGAACCTCGTGATTGAGCAAGTTTCCTGTAATCTCACRTCAACAAAAACAAAAATGTAACTCCCACTAGAGACAGAAAGCAATCTTTTGGCCAGAGACAGAAAACGAAAAAGCATTCCCAGATAGTACTGTTGTATTACCTACCAACAACTGGCTATCTGACATCACCAAGACTCCAAGCAGCTATTACCAGAACAAGCAGCACATCTCAAAGAGAAGACAGTTTCCTTGTGCCATGCAGTGTTCTCAGTTTACCAATGCATTACCAATGCACTGCTCAYACCAGTCAGACTGACTGACACAAATCGGGTCCATATGCAGTTTGCATTAAAAAAAAAAAGTATTTCAGGATATACTTGAAGCCTACAATTTTAGAATAATTGTTTCTAACAGYTATTTAGCAAGAACCAAAGACCCACTTGTCAAATCTGAGTAATATTTTCAASTCACTTGATTTCATATTGTCCTTTCCATTCAAAAGAGGCAGTAAAAGCACTCAGGATTTACTTACACTCCCATTGTCCTCCAGACAGTAATTCCCCTTTGTTTACAGGTCATGTGTTTTCTCAATACAATTCAGCCACATAATATCTAAACCACCCTACATTCACTTAGATCATCCACTTTTTCTAAAAAGTTCACAGAGTATCTTCAGGCATGGACAAACTTTTTTATCAGATGAAGCTCCAATTTTCAGAAGTGTATCATTTCCCCGGGTGAAAGTCTGGAAACAGGTTTGAAATCAACTCAGGGACTGGTTTCCTACCAGTGTCTATGAATGTCACTATCACAATTTTTAGGAAAATACAAAATCCTTAAAGTGTGACTAATTTAATCTACAGACAAAAAAAGCATTCAATCCTACAACTATTTCATTCTGCAGAAATCAGCACTACCACCTCTTCCCATTCCTTCATAAGCATACTTGCACTAGTTTTGATGTAACACATTTGCAGAGACACTCCACCAATAATTGAGATTTCATGTCTGCTTAGGTGTTGCAGGGGTTTTAATATGTAATTAGTACTCCCATTTTAGCTGTCTTAGCCTTCTCTCACCTTTCCTTTCATTATGAGAAACAGAGCAGCACAAGTTCTGTTCCAAACCTCAATCTTAACTGCTGTGAGACAGAAAAGCAGTGAGCTGCAATAGGGACAGCTAACCATGCACACATGCTTCTAAGAAACAGTGCTTCAAACAACAGTCACAGTATCATCTCTCTTACCAGAAAATAAAGCAGTTATTCTCAGCCTCTGCACTTGACCCATATAATTCACTTTTTAACACTGTATAGCTGTAAATTCAGGAATTACATATGGTCATTATACAAAACAGGATGCAATAATTACTTTCCTATTATTTTTAATAGTCAATATGCATTCATTTTTGCCCAAAACCAAGATATTAGATACACATTTGGATTACATTTCYTTTATTTTGTGCCTCCTAACAAAATACCTGTCACAAACACTACTATCCAGACCTACACTTAACATCAAGTCAAGCATATTTAATTTCATTCTCATTTTAATCCACGTAACCTAATCTCCCTTAAAGGCTTTTTTGAGTTTTCCCTGCCCCTGTACCACTGGCCCCAAACAGAAACTAACAAGTGCTAATCACTCTTATTAATGAACAGACTCCTACCAGGCACCCACATTTGGACTAATTTCTCTCTCTGGTCACATCCATGGCAGCATCATGTTCCTGCAAACACAGCTGTAACATTCAACACAGACACTCAACACTTCAGTGCTGGCATTAAAAAAAAAACAAGACAGTGCAATATACTAAGTAAAACAGCGCTGCTTTGCAAGACACAGTGCCCCAGTGATCTGGGACAAGCTTGGACAAAACACAGGCCAAAAACTTTCACCCAGGAACACAGCTATGTTTTTGCAACCAAGGAAACGCTGCACCCTTCAGTACATACTGCAGCAGCAGAAGGGAACATTAAACAGAGCTAGAAGAAAAAGACAGAGAGGCCACTTGTTTCCTAAGCCTAGCAATGCATACTACCTTTTACTACCCTCATTTCCTTGGACACAACCCACACYCTCATCCCCAACAGGTTTTTTGTATTCTTTCCCTAAAGGAATACTAATGCTGGGTTACAGAAAACTGTCAATATACTGTAAAAGAACCCACAATCCCAACATTCAGGAAAATACTGGATCTCATGTACAATTATAGCAACAAAACCTGTACATACACAATTGCTGGTTATAGTTGTATGAATTACATTCTAACGCAACTTGCAAATAGTTGGCCTGCAGACCAACATAAAATTAAATTGACACATCCACTTTCAAAACCTGAGTAATTAAAAGTATTAGACAGCAAGATCTCCCAGGCTGTATAGAGACAGACTAGAAGAGAGTCCATTCCAAATACATTTAGACATCCTTTGAGCTGTTAGTATGGGCAAAAGCAACAACTTCACTTCATGCTYGTTCTTGTACASCAATGCAACTTAAGCAGYGGCAGCTACTAAAATATTGAGATAAGCAAGTGAAAAAGAACACTGTATGTAATTTAGGAGACTGAGATCTGATGTTACCAACCATGTTAGGTATAAATAGTTCAGAAAAAGCAGGGGAATGAGAGTATCTTGGCATCACGTGGAATCCACAAAGTGGCTGTACAGCATAGCTGTAGCAGAGAGAAAGAAGCCATCATCACTCACTCAGAATGTAAAAGAGTGTTTTTCAAGATTTTGGGAAGGTTTTAACTCCATACTCAAAAAGACTCAAATGCCCAGATGTGTCTTCCCAACAAGGCAGCTACTGGGAGCAGTACTCAAAATCCATGGTGGCCTGCGAGCAGGAATCTGCAGGAATGCAAGACCCTCGGCTCGATCTCTACTTCTAAAGATGCAATGAAATCTGTAGCCTATCATTCAAAATACATGCTTCTTTTGATTAAATTATCACAAGTGTGAATCAGATAAGCAGATTTATCCCCTACAGCCTTTTTCCTGTAACTCATAGTCTAAATAGATAGATGGATGGATCATTTCCACATATATTTCCAGTTTTCACTTGAAAGCAAAAATACAGGTTTCACAGACTAACATCCCAGTTATACCATGTACGAGATTAGTTAGACAATTTTAATGTTTTTTTTTGATTTATTTTAATTTTAAATCAGTCAGAAACTAAACAAAAATAGAAAAACACACAAGTAGTTTTCCATAAGCCTACGAAACTTGAACAAAGAAAGCAGTACTTTAAGAACAGTTAATAATATATAGCTTGATACCCTATCCTTCAAAAACCGAATAGTTTTGAAATTCCCACTAATAAAATTTAAAAATGGACATACTCTCTCCTCTCCCAGACTTTTTTTATCGTAACTGAAGCAACCTTAGGCAGAGAAGACAAAGTCCTAAATCTAGAAGTTAGCAGATCACATTCTTGTAGTAGCTCAGTTAGCACATGCTGAGCAGATATAGCCCAAATATTTTTAAAAATATACAAAGCGCTCAAACTGTAKGAAAGCTTGCTTCCTAAAATGGATTTAACTATCTTATAAAATGGACAGCATTATTCTTCCTAAACTGATRGCTTCCCTGGAGGACCTAAGTGTCACATCCCAATCACTGGGCTGCCCTCTGAACAAACTGAAACAGATGCATCAAGCCTATCCGTTCATTTCATTCATTCCTTTCCACCTACATTAAATTGTTTTGACAAGCCAGGACAAACAGCAAGCCTTCCCAGCACGTGACTCGCGGTTCTGCAGTGCCAGGGGCCTGAAAGGAGACAAGCAGCAAATGAAACGATTGTTCAGCTCAGAGCGATTCAATAAGCTTTTTCTTGGCTCTTTCCATTTATCCAGGTCCTTCCCATCTGATTTGTTTTRGTCAGGAAAGAGCTATCAGAGGTGTTTACATTTTTCAATGTACAACAGGAATCTTAAGCATTCATGATAAACCAGGTATAGGTTTACTGTTCCACTGATGTCCTTGATKTACAGGAACATGAATCACACACAGCAGTGTTACTGCCCTCTTTCTACCCCCGCACCTACGTGCATTATATAAACGAAAACAAACCAACCCAAARCCAAAACAACTCCCTTCCCCCWGCTAAGATTGTTTTTTGTGGCYTGGTACAATAGCTAAAGCTCATCAGCAAAAAATGCCTATATTCCTCTAGTGATTGTTTTCAGCCAARGCTTACTATCTACTCAGCATCCTTAATGAGGAAGGAAAATACACTTCTGGCACCTATATTAATCGTGTATTTTAGCTGGGTTACTCACATAGTCACTGAGTCTACTGAGTAATTTCTCATCTGTTTTCCTTTCTAACTTTCCACAGTCCTTCCGAGTTCTGTCCTGTTAACATCATGACAAGAAATCACACATCTGCAAAACACATCCCACTACCCACAGCAGAGCCCAGCTCAGACACTGGAGGCAGCAGGGGAGCCTCCTCACAAGGCACCACACTCTGCTCGGATC